ACAGTGTAATTAGAAACACGAATAAAATCCTTTAGTACTATTATAATTTTACCATAATCTCTAAAACACTTTTTCATAATGTTATTTTCCAATATTTCTCGTCATAATGTAAAAACTTTTCGAGATTTGGTTTTGAAGTTGCTATTTCATTCACAACAGTGGTATGTTCAAATTAACAGTATTCTTACGAATACACTAGATCAAATAAATCATTTAAAGATTTATTTGATCTAGAAATAATAAGATTGATACGAAGCGGTCGGAAGTAAAAGATGGTAATCTTAAAAATAATAGTTTTTTGGTAGTTTTAAAATTTGAGTGTGCTTCCATCTGCTATCCATATGGATTTTTAAATAATCTGCATTATGGCGCAAATGTATCCCCTGACTTTTTTCATAATTATGTATCTAATTAAAATAACGTCGAGCGAAAATGATCACTTATATCTCACTAATTTTTCCGTGAGAGTTATCATGTTTTACAACCAAACCTTTCGAACAGTACTATTAGTTATGAATCAGAAACCAATTAAAAATGCGTCGAACATTCGTATTGTGGACATAAGGTCATTAGAACATTTTTGAGCATCTATTTCGTTACATGTATTTTTTATTAATTTCTGCCGTGAATGGCCCCTTTAGTCATCGTTAGGGCGTTTTAATTTATTCTCGTGTTCATCTCGTGAACAACATGGCGTTTACGCTGCGCCGTTCCGCGGAGTAATCCGGGTGCCTCCAGCGCTCGCCGGGCTGTGAGGGCGCGCGCCGCCGGTGTGACGGGCGTGGGGTGGGGGAAGGAGGACGATAATAAGGCGGAGGGAGGAGGGAGGCCGTTAGGGGGCGGCCCCCAAACAAGAAGCTGCCGCGCCCCCCTCCAGGTCTCCTTGGCGCAGGCGGCGCGCCATCAAGGTGAGCGAAGACTCCCCCTTGCTGATTACGCCCGGCTGTTAAACCCTCTCCCCACCCGTTCCCCGGCCCAGCCTTTGCCCCGCTCTGGTCCGTTCCTTGCCACCGCTCTCGCCCCACCCCTCGCTCACTCCTCGCCCCCCTTTCAGCTCTTGTCCAGCCCTCGTTTTCGGCCCGCTCTCCTCCCCCAGGAAAGGCATAAACTAATGTAACTATAGTGTCTCTCACCGGGAGGTCCTAGGTTCCAATTTCGAGGATTTTCGACACTAGATTGTCAGTGAGGTCGGATTCAGTCGCTGTCCGGAGGAGACTTCTAGCGGCCGGCTGCTCTGATCGGTAGTTTTCCGTGGTTTCTTCGACCAATCCCAGGCGAATGCTGGAGTAGAACTCTGTTAAGCGAGCCAAGGACCGCGCGCGATCTCTCCTTTCTCTGCATTGACTAATTCTCATCCTTTATTTATGAACACATACACGTAGGTACTCACTAAACCCGACACATGTCGGGAGCTTAGAACCGGTGAACCGATGAACCTATGAACTTTGAACCGATTGGAGCAGTGTTGCTCCGGTAGGAGATACGTAGTTGGGTCGTCTCGAGAGTCTCGACCCCCCTTCCCCCGGGAAGGGGAAGCGTCACTGTAAAGGCGCACAAAACTTTTTTTGCGATCTGTGAGAGGACCGAATGAGAGCTTCGATATTTCGGATTTTTTTTAGTCTTCAATTGTGTTAACTTCAGTCGTCTTTCTTACTTACGTGGTTGGAAAATTAGTAGGTTGACAATGGGAACGCTATCTTTCCCGATTCCTCTTTAGATCTAAATTCGAGGTTCTGCTGGAAGAGGGGTTGTTTAAAGAGACTCAAAGGATTTCGTTTGAACATGGTACACATTTTTATGTTAAGGTATTTTCGTTTTCTCAATTGATATTCCTCTTATTGCAAAAGGTAATTCAATTTTCTGAATACAAAGTACTAGGGGAGACCGGGTTGTCGCACGGGTTGGTTGCAAATTTTTATTCTCAGACAATATCGCTCCTTACAGATCTAAACTCAAATCACAGTACAATCACATTTTGAGGTGGTATAATCGGTTTTGAGTTTCTTCCGATAGATGTTATTGTTGTTTTTGTAGACGTAATTATTCATTTATTGATACAATTAACACTGATTATTCACTCTCTATTCAATGAAATCTAGATTCCAACTATTTACTGTTACTTGATAACATTTGGACAACGATATTATGTAGCAAGATAAAAATTTGGCGTAATATATGTTTCCAGCTCATCTCTTGTTCGAATGGATTGTGCAGGGTTAGTTGTCACAAAAAATGTATTGATGGTTGTCACATGTGGCAACCTACCCCGGCAGGTATTTTCAGTAGTTCTTATCACTTTATTCAGGCAAAGATGAGTAAAAGTTATAAAAAAATGCCCAACAGAGGATAAGTTCCAAACATCATGCTTGCAACAGTGAGAAAAATGAAAAAAAATCATTCACCCGAGTTACGTTAATATTAACAGATTCACCAGTTTAAAGAAAGCTTCAAGAATTACCTAAAAATCAAAAAGAAAATCAAAGGAAAGTATCTAACAAAAAACAACTAAATATAATGAGAATGCAAAAAAAAATGAAAGGAAGTAAAACGCAGGTGAAAAAAAATCTCAATCAGTAACGAAGAGAATTTTTTTTTTGTTTAGTTTGCCTTGAACTGTTTTCTAACCTTAAAATTAAGAAAAAATGAAACCTGTGTATAAAATGTAAGAAGTGGAACCAGGAATTATGTACACATGAACCAAATAATTTTTATTCACATCAAAATTGTGCGAGTGCGCTCGAAGTGACTCGGCTTTTATCAGTCATTTTCTTAAATATTCTCTCACATGAATATTTCTGCGTCTAAATTGTCTTTAATATATATTATTGCATTATCAATACCATAAATTGATTTTTATTTTAATATAAATATTTTTTCATACCATGTAATGTCGATTTTTGCATCTAACCTAACCCGTGACAACTAACCCCAACGTGTGTAACAACCAACCAGAAGTCGAGGCTAGTTGTCCCAAATAATTACTCTGACAGAACATTATATTTTTGACAAGCACATGCTGCTACGGCCACCAATTTGTGTAAAAATGTAGCCAAGGGTTCATATTATGAGATGCAACAATAATAAAAAACAAAACTCTGTCACAGACTCTTAAAAAATTAAAAATCTCTAATTGTGACAACCTGCCCCAGTCTCCCCTATATAATGCATAACTTCAAAAAGTTACGCCTAAAAACGAAACGCAGTTTCTCCTTTTATGTTTTCAAGTTTTTCGGCGCATTTATTTGGAACCAATGTGCACGAAAGCCATCACCCACTCTGCGCCCATTGCAGTGGAAGCTGTTGCATTCGCTAGTTTGCGATTTACGCCACGTTGCGGTGCAAGGCGAATTTCGCGCTTCTGCTGAGCTGTATTCGAACGCACCTTGCAACATTTGCTTTCGGCTCCCGCACTGTGCACAAATCCACATTAAACCTCTATAATTCCATCTCCATCGGCAGTGAGGCATCAACGTGTGTGGAACCTCAGCAGTCAATAAGCTGCTCGTCCTGGCCTGCGCTCCATGATGCAACACCCGTCGAAGCAGCGCGGCACGAAGGCACACGATGGAAATTTCATATAAAGAATTGTGACGAGATTGATTGATCAGTGTCATGGAGAAAATTATAACTGGATGTAGCTGCATGCATATCTGTAATTTATTGAGGATAGTTAAAAAAAAGTGGGCATGTCCATTTAACGAATGTCTTCAACTACCTATTGATAGTAAAAGTTCTGGAGAATGACTGATTTACCTTAAACTGTGTCTCAAAATTAAAAGTATACATTTGTAGATCAGGTAAAAAGGCTGAAAATCATTACATTTTGTCAAATAACATGTAGTTACAAATATCATATAATGAAGTTTCACATTTGACATTATCGTCTGATTGTTCGTCCATGTTACGTGCACAGGTTTTCGATAGATTTATATCTCCTTCAAAAACCGAACCGAAACACTGTGCATGAGTTGCCAAACAACGAGGGGTAAATGTCACACGTGTAAATCCGTTATACGAAATTTTCTACTGCACGTTCATTACCAAAAAGTGCTCACTTTTTGCCTCTCTACATTGTCCTGGGAGTTTGTAGCATAATATTCTGCGTCACCTGTATAACACTAAATAACAACAGTGTTACATACATGCATCCTATTATGCATGCCTTACATTTCTTTTTACGATTACTCCTACAAGTTGAATAAAAATTGCAAAGGTATAATTGACCAGTACTGCGTAACTGAAAATGCACTTTCTAGACGTATCGCAGACACATCAACAATGTCAAGTTAATGTATCAACTAGTGTTGATACACTTGGAGAGGAAGCCTGAATATTCTACACGCCGCGAGGTCGCATGCATGGCTCTAACGGTGGTGTCGGCTCCACCCGCAGCTAAAAACCGCGCGAAGCTCAAGGGTTAGGAGCACTCATATCTCCCGGCGACCGCCGCGCCGCGCCGCGAGGGCGCAAGTTACCGCCGCCGTCACGTGGCGGCAGCGGCTCGTCGCGGAGTTATACGGGCAGCCGCGTCGAGGGGGGCGACGGGCGAGGGGGGCGGGGTCGTCGGCTGCGTCTGGCGCTCTCTCATTACGCAGGGCGGGCGGTTTATTATTTAGATGAGCGATCTCTGCAGGCGCTGCAGGTGTCGCCGAGCCTCGCCCGCGCACCTCACCCTGCGTTTTCCCCTCCCCGCTACCTCAGCCTGCCCCGCCCCGCCGGATTCTTCTCCAAGTTTTCGGGGGCCGCATTAGGGAAGACACGAACCGCCGCCGCCGCCGCTGCGCTTGTCTTATTAAACGGTGGAAGTTGGCGGATCGGCGCCGCCAGCAGCGGTGGCGTGGAGACACGGGCCGCGTCGGCGATGTAATACTCCGGGCGCGTGTTACCGCTACGCGTCTAGCCTGGCCCCGCCGCTCCACGAGCCCCGGGTGATTACGAATGAATGATAATGATGATGACGTGCCCGGCGCGCCGGCGTGTCCCCTACGTGCGCTTTTGCTATGAGGGAGTCTCCACCTTCATACGCGGTGCACGGCAAGGGCGGCTTCGGAGTGATGTGGGCAGAAAGTCAACGCGTGCACCGAGTTATTTGAAGTACTTTTTTATTTCCTCGGACCAATTATTATCATCCAAATTCGGCGTAGAGAAGTGATTGTTATAACTGCATACTAAAAAACGTCATTTACTCTTTTAACAAGCTTTCACTAGTCCGTGCAGCCAGTTATTCAATTGGACACGAGGTACTTCAAAGGTAGAGTCAGTTCACCCTGTGATGTGTAGGCGTACTCGAGTCAAATGTTTAAGTTTCAGTATCTGTGTTATAGAGTTTGACTTACATGCCATAAACCCCGGGGAAAATATTATATTGATACAGTATTTTAAAGATCTTGTGGAGATAGAAAAAGATCAATCTTTAGTAGATTCTATATTTTAAATGACTAATGATGGATGGAATGCTAACAGATGACAGAGCCCTCTACAATGAAATCATTCACAGACCTGTCATGAAATAAATTGTCCACATTAGCTTGTTTCTAATCTCATAACGAAACATATTTCATCAAAATGATATATATTTTCAAATAGAGTAAAATAAATATGAAATATGTAGGAAACCTCTAGATATATTATTGTCATCAAGTGTTGCCTTTTAAATTCAGTTTTTCTTCCCATTTTAGTAATTTATTTGTAATTCAAAAATTCGAAAAAAGTTATTTAAAAATAAAAATATTTTACAAGGAAAAATTATGCACAAAATATATAGTCAAACCGCCTTCTACCTGCTAACAACGAACTTTGACTGTCTTGCAATGGATTGTGAAGCCAAGGGGCTGGTCCTGTAAAGTGCTTTCATGGAGAACGAACGGAATTTGTTAAAATTATTTATACAGGATATCTTACAATAAATGTTATAACCTCTAAGAACTTGTAAGCGAAATGGAAGATTATGGATTGATCACAATATTCTTTAGTTACAATGCACTTGTGTTTGGTAGGTCGTGTACCCCAAGCAAAGAGATTTCAGATACCTGTCGAACATTAGTATATAATAAGTTACCTTACAGTCAAAGACAAATGTTACATATGTACTTCATTTCACAAAATTTTTAGCTAATAAGCACTATTCATTGGCAAAAAGTGATCATCTTCGGCTTCTATTAATGCATTAAATTCATGCCGCATTTACTTGAGACGCCGTAATATTTTTTATTTTTCTGCATGTTGGACTGTGAATTTTTCCTCCGGAAGCTACTAATTTAGTTTAAACTGTCAACTGAAATAATAGTATGTTTGTTATTAATTATGTTAATAATGAAACAATCAGTTGTTTTTTTCTTTTTTGACAATCGCTGAACCAGTTTTCAAAAAAAAAAAAATTAATGTCCATTTATTTGAAGCGTATAAATATTAAGCAAAACGTCCGTGTTCCAGCATTACACGGATAATAAAACAGTTTTTGAAAACTTGTTAATTGATTGTCATTAAATGAAAAAAAACTCTTAAGTGTTACATTATTACTACTAGTTAAGTTTTTCTTGGAATGAGAAGCACAGCAAGTGCGTGTATGTGTGTGTGTGTGTGTGTGTATGTGTTTTAGACCCGACATGTTCATTGATTGGCATAAAATGAAAAAGGATACCTGAGTGTTAAATTATTACTACTCGTTAAGTTTTTCTTTGGAATGAGACACAGCAAGTGAGTGTGTGTGTGTGTATGTGTGTATGTGTTTCAGATCCGACTGTTCATTGATTGGCATAAAATGAAAAAGGATACCTGAGTGTTACAGTATTACTACTCGTTAAGCTTTTCTTGGAATGAGACACAGCAAGTGAGTGTATGTATGTGTTTGTGTGTGTGTGTGTTTCAGATCCGCCCAAGATCCTTGACGTGGGGTCGGCGCGCGTGGTGACGGCCGCGCTGTACTCGGCGGTGACGCTGACGTGCGCGGCGGAGGGCAACCGAACGCAGCGCCTTCCAGTGGCTGCAGCGGCCGCTGGTGACGGCGGGGCCGGGCGCGGGGGCGGGGGCGGGGGCGGGGGCCGTTGCCGGCGCCCACGCCCCTGGCGCAGGGGGCGGGCCGACGGCGCCCGGCGGAGGCCGGCCCGCCCGGTGCTCCTCCGCAGCTCGGAGCCCACGCTGCGCATCGCCAACGCCTCCTACGACCACCAGGGCGAGTACGCGTGCAAGGCCACCAACACCATCGCCGGCCGCGAGCGCGTCGTCCTCAGCGACGCCATCGCCGTCAAGGTCGTCGGTGAGTACTCGCGGCCTCATGCACTATGTCACGTGGCAGACCTGGAAGTCGTAACATCCTACTTTAGGCCTAAGGTACGGCCTTATACCTTCACAAATAGTACACGCCTGTAAGAGTCTCTTCGATCACCTTACGAACGGCAAAATGACGGCCTAAAAACAGGAAGTGTTGCATTTTCTTACTCTCATAAAGCGATTCTCACATGTGATGCAGTTACAACTATTCCTTATCAACTCCACAGCACTGAAAAGAATAAACGGGAAAAGTTCCATACTGTACACTCATTGCAGAGGGTCACTAAACCTAAAACGTCGTACACAAAGAAGTAGATTTGTTATGTTCTTAATTCATAAAGAAATATAGGAGTCTCACCACTCGCCTACACACTATGATATATTACGGAAGTTATTTGATCAATGTCTGAAATGCGTCTTTTGTTCTTCTCTCCCACCAACCATGGCTAAATTTACCAAAGTTATCATCTTAGAGTACACCCGCAGTACACCCGAGATTATCAAACCAAGTGTATTTTACCGAAGTAAATTTCCAGAAATTGTAATCTTTCTACCTGTTAAATCCTGCTTGTAATTCTTTGCTTTGAAGCTATCTTTCTGGTGAATCTTAATTTCTTTGTTCAAAAATATTCCCTCAGCTATAGTTTTCCGTTTCACGTTTAACAGGTTCGGAGATAAAGCCATTGCTGGCTAGGGAAAAATACGGGAGAAATTCTGTGTGACGTAATTATTTTTGCGGCAAGCATAACAGCCTTAAAAAACGGCGTTCAATGCAGCTTTCCCTAATTTTATTGCACAATAAAAGTCATTCCTCAGGGAGATGTGAAAATCTAGTGTTTTTCATCGCGTTTGGAATTTCTACCACCAACGCACGCCTTATATATTATTCAACGAAATGAATTTTTTAGGCACGTAGCATTTTTATAAATAATTTTTAATTTAAATTTTGTATAACCTTTTAACATTATATTTTTATATTCTGCTCAATATTTTATTTATTAATAGGTTTCCTTTTACGTAACTTAATCCGTAATTTGTTAGCTGTACATCGTAACTATTTAACTTTATTTCATCTTGTGATATTGTAAATGCCGTAATCTTCTCCTAACAACTGTTTTATCAACATTATTCCTACGAAACTGTCATGGTTTGTTTTTCCACCGAATTGAAATTGCGTTTGTAATGAGAAACAGGAATTTGAATATTTTTGCTCTGGTCTTCCGCGCGCTCCCTCTCGGCTTTAATTCGCCCACAAAATAAAGACACCGCTCAAACGCCCTCGCGTTAATTCCGTCGGACGGCCTCGCCCCAAATATCGCCCTCCGCGCCCAGGCGCACCAAAAAAAAGAAGAAAAAAAGGCGGGACATTCACGCGAGCCGCGCGCCCTCTGCCGTCGCTCTCTTCGAAGCCTCTTATCAGGTGCGATCGCCGCGCCCCGCGGGACGAAAAAGCGAAGCTCTGGCCTTTTGTTGCGTGGGGCCGGCGGGGCGATGCAGTGCGTAGCGGGAAGCAGTGGGCCTACGCGGGCGAGCTCTCGTGTGGTCGTTTCGAACCGCTTTAATGATAAAGATGAATTTATTTGAATTACAAATGGGCATAACCCGCTGGCAGCTAATTACATAAATAAGATAATATAGCTAACATGCAAATTATATAACAATGGTACAATAATAATCATAGAAACAATAAAAACAGCTGATACAACAACGATAACAATAATAATAATAATAACAGTAATAATAAAAAATGACATTAATAATAATATTAACATTAATAAAAATATAATGATAAAAAACTGTCTAATTCATAAAACATAAAATTACCTTAAGAAAAAAAACTGTATAATCTAAGTCCGTACTGAATTTTTGATCAATTAAGACCTCACTACACTGCACTTCACTTAACTTTAGAGGATTAACCATTAATTAATATTCGCTCCAGACGAGTTGGTTCAATGGTTTCATAATTTATTGCATTTCGTACAAAGATAATGCTCGGGTAGATACTTTTTACCCCTTTGAAAATGTATCTAATTCATTTATTGTTCGATCGTAATGGATTGAAGGGCCGCTAAGGGCTTTGTCCGACCAGCGGTGACTCAGCCTCTCGGTCATGGAATAAGCTGTTCTTCTGGTTAGCACGAAGACATGCTTTCACCTAATATTCTGGAATATTAGGTATTATAATGGCTCGAATGCCTTCCGCCTCGCCACATAGTATTAAATTATTTAATTTATAAGAGTAATAATTAACTATTAAAAAAAGTAATATCTTTGCGTTCATAACATAACATAGGGTGGACTTTCTCACCTTCACACAGCAGTAGACACAGTGATATTTGTAAGAAAAGCGCACAATTATAATTTGCCTTGACCGGGAATCGGATCCGTGGTTGTTCCATGAAATGTGAGCACGCTAACTAATGGCCACTCGACAGGGCAAGTTATGTATACAATAGTTTTTACTAAATACAGATTAATTAATGGAGTATCTAATGACATTTCAAACACTTTATTTTTCTTAAGAAGGAGAATACTTGCTTACATCAGCTTCATTAATGTTAATTTGTTCGCTGTCAATCGGAAAACACATGTATCACTGGTGCATAAAGAGTAAGTGGGTGTAGTATCAGAATTGTTAACGAGTAATTTACATTTGTTCGTCGTGCCTTATACTGTGACGGCTTCAAATTCAAGAATAGGAACCAAGTTTTTGAACAAAGGGCAAAATTACTTCTGGACAGAGGAAGTGCGCGAAAGGAAAAACTAGGAAGTTTGAATATTTTTCTGATCCAGACCACAAGGCCACTGTACACATAAAGTTCACTGGGTTGGTAAGATATTGTGCAAACAAACTAGCAATTTCGAACGTTCTAATCACCTGATTCAGTCTTCGAAAACCTTTTCTAGTTTATCGCCAGTGTCCTTGCTCCTATCCCACAGGTCTCGTCGCCAATTGCAGTTACTATAATGAAATTTTAAGGTAATCAGGGCATCATTTGAGGTAACTGAAGTGCCTTACACCGGCGGGTCCTAGTTTCGACGGTGGCCTGATTTTCGACTCTATACTACACATATTGGTTAATTCAGTCTCTGAATGGAGACAATTCTAGCAGCCGGCTGCTCTGAACGAAAAGTTTCTTGGTTTCTCCGATCATCACCAGACGAATGACGGCGTAGTTCCCTCACAAATGGATTGCGGACGACGCGCGATTTTTCCTTCCTCTTCCTTGACGTATCCTCACCCCTTACTTACACACATTTACACTTGCATGTACTACACTGCACACAAACGCTGGGAGACCAGGCGAGAGCTTAGAGATTGTCCCAGCTGGGGTGGTGCCCCGCTGGTTGGAGATTCCTGCTTGGGGAAAACGCCGCAAGTCGACCCGCCATTCAGCGGAACTGAATTGAATTAAATTAATTCTTGAATTAACTAATTTACGTGGCGATACTGGCGCCATAAAGCCCGCTCTTCCGTCTGACCACACAAATTACGCTTAGGTCCTTTCACCAACTAGTGGAGAAAGGAGGTATTTCTTGGGCGACGAAACAGGATTCAGCTCAGAGGCGTTATTTAGGCTTGAGGATCTTTTACATGCAAGTAAATCTACTAACATGGGACAGCCGACTTTACTTCCTCTCCGAAGGAAGGCGTACGAAGGATTTTTTCGCCCTTAAAAATCCACGGCTTCAATCGGGTTTGCACCCGCGAACTTGGGTGTAACAGCCCGATACGCTAACCATTACACCATCGCCGGGCGAAAGTGGAGGAAGATTAACCTTCCTACCGCGATCAAAACATACACTTAATGACGTATGACCTTGGTAGTTGACGCTCCCAGAATAACTAATCAATCACTCAATAATATACCCGACTGAACCGACTGTGGTCTGAAGCAACACTTTCCGGAGGAGCCGAGAACGCCTTGCGGGTCCTGCATGCGGTGCCCGTTCGATCGACCCACTGTGTGACGGGGAGAAAGGGGGAGGCGGAAGGGATGCCGTAACTCGGGTCGTAATCCTCGTACTGGCCGGCAGGCGCTGGCGGCGCAGTCTAATTGCAGAGGCGCCCAGTGATATGATCGGCCGAGAGCGAGGGCCAGGGCGAGGGCGATGGGCGATGGGCGAGCGCCGAGGACGGGCGAAGGCGACATGATAATAGCTTAGAAGGCGGTTACCGCAGTGGAATCTCGATAACTCCCGGTCCTTGATGTCTCGAATAATATTCAGACTCCCTCCTCGCTTTGCCTACACGCACCCGTGTTACTTTACCACCGTAACAACTTCCGCAGCAGTTCCGACGGAGCAGGATTTTCCACACAAGCTATATCTATACCTAGGTCGAATTCAGCCGCTGCCTGGATCCAAATCCTAGGGACCAGCTGATCTGGTCGGTAGTTTGCACGTGGGCGCGATTTCTTCGATCAATACCGGGCAAATGCTAGAACAGTACCTTAACAAACGGGTAACCACGGACCGCGATCGTTTTTATTCCTCATACTTGTCCGTCCTTTCCCCTTTCACACACATACATACTGACAAGCAGCACATTACCACTCACATCGGAAGTTTAGAGCTCACGTCGGGGTCCCGCTGGAGAAGATATCTGGGGAATGAAAATCCCGCAAGCTGCCATGCAAGTTAGCGCCAAATTTCACGTTGAGTGATGAAGGAATACCGTCACCTCCGAGTTATAACATTTACTACATTCACGGGACGAGTATC